ATTTGACTTGAACAGAATGTCAAGAGCTTGGAGCTATTCAGAAGACATAAGTAAATATTAAGCTGGTCAATTCTGGAGCGTCTTGGGGTCTACATAAATGCTTTTTGTAGATTGTAGTTGGTATGGTCATAGTCATAGTGACGGTGATGTTCATAGTTGCAATATGCCTTATTTAGATTCAAGATACAGCTTCGCACGTATATGAAACAGATGTACCCATTTTACGTTGATGTCTGTTGTTATCCTATCTGCCGAGAAAGGCCAGGTAGGTGGGAGGCTGCTGAAGAAAGACCCAGTCAACGAGGTCGGCAATCAACCGTTATCAAGGTTTTGGCAGTAGCATATTAGTTTATCTGGGCCCGCGATTTAACTTGAACAGAATATAAATCCTTGATCTATTCAGAGGACATACCGTATTCGATGTAATAAGTGCCACTTTCTAATAAGCGCCCACGGCGGTATTTGCTAATATATTGGCTAGTGAACAATCCCAATTAGCACCCTTCCGACTGATCAATGTTCACAAGACTTACTTATTTGCGTACAATACGCATTAGTGTGTTATGTGCACCCTTAATTATGGGCAATTAAATTCAAGAAAATACGTCTGGGGTACATAAAGATTTCAGGCTGTCAGCATAAACCCCGAAATTTATCTTTCATCTCTGTTTTTTTAACCAAAAAAATATTCTAATAAGCGCCCCCTATTTCTAATTTTGAGAGCTTCCGGGGCGCTTATTACGTCGAATACGGTAAGTGAATATTACTCTCCTCACTGAAACGATTCAGCAGCTTCTTTGGACCCACAAGGCAGACGCATCCGATAAATGAGGCGTTTTCTTTGCGCACAACGTCATTAACAAAAGATTAATTCCCTTTACTTGAGGATCAGCCAGACGGTTTGCTCGTGCCTGTTCTAGTGCCCGACTGACGGCAAAGAATGGTTTGTTACACCGGTAATTATTCCTCATGCCGTGTTTGGTGCATCATACCTTATGGAGATAATCTTTGATGATTATGATCGAGGTGTGGTCAGTTTCGTGCTGAATAAATGAGAATATAAATCTTAATCCACTTGTTTACATTTCATAACAAATAAAGCGGGTGAAGTCTAATTGTTCCTGTGCGTCATAATGACATATATTTGTCATGCTTGATGTAACACTATTCACACATTTTGTGCTGAGGCCTTCAGAGACTGTTAAATGGAATATGAAAGACAATTATGACACGATTAACACCAGCTAAATAAGAGCTATTAAGCTATAAGGTTATTGAAAATTTAAACAAAAGGATTTTCTAGACGTACATGCCATTATACTTATATGAATTCAATCACTCTTGATTATTATCTCACTTCAGTATATAAAACTGATCCGTGAAGATCCGGGTGGAATAGGTCTTCAGCAACCCACGCTTGCCGTAAAAGGCGACTAGGCTTGTCGTAAAAGGCAACTAATGGGATCGGGTTTTGCCTTTTACACCGACCGCCTCCTGGTCTGGTGGTAGAGCGTCTGCCCGAAGAGCGAAAGGTCGAGGCCTATCAGTGATCATTAACTTATTTATCAAACAGTTATCTAAAACTCTCCACGAATCTTAATCGAATATCAGCCATGTTATTTGAATTGTTTGAAGGGTTTTCTTATTTGTCCCAAAGAAGGCGGATTATGCAACAGTGACAATCAATGCTGACATGGAGCACCAACTTGTTCATAACATTCGCCTTGGCAGTATTTACCCGATGAAGGGGCAAGAAGTAGCCCTTAACACGTCGTTGTAAACACCTAAAACAATGTTATCCATAAAATGTTTCATGTCGTCAAGGTATTCCAACTTCTCAGTGCCCATCTAAGAGAGATAGAGACAGAGTGTCCTTGGCATAAACTCAACATATCAATATTCTAGTATGGTCAAAGGCAGAACAATAAAAATATATATCCACATCATTCATTTGTGTAATGAAGACAGCCAAGAAATGTATGTCAAACGCTATTACCCAACCCAACTCACTCACTCACTCACTCACTCCTCAACCTGGAGAAAAGTGTAGGTGGCTGTGAATACATCTTCGTCGTTTGCGATCACTTTACCAAGTTTTTTCTAGCCTATGGCACTAGAAACAAATCTCGTAATACAGCAACGGATCAGATATTTAATGATTTTGTGCTGAAGTTTTCCGTCAGAGCTCCATCATGACCAGGTTACAGAGCTCGAGAACCATCTCTTCCATCAACTTCAGAAATATTGCTGGATGGCAAGAACGTGAACAACACCCTATCACCCAGAAGGAAACGGACAAGTTGAACGTTTCAACAGAACTTTTTTAAGTATGTTGAGAACCCCACCCAGCCAAATGAAGACCAACTGGAAAGATCACATGAATAAAGTTGTGCATGCTTACAATTGTACTCGTAACGACGCAACTGGTTTTTCACCTTTCTACCTCCTCTTTGGATGCTCACCACGACTGCCAGTTGATCTGATGTTTGGACTGGGCCAGGACATATCAGGTGCCAAACCTAGCAAGTATGTAGAACAATGGAAACATTGTATGACACAGGCATACGAACAAGCTCACAAACAGGCATCAGAGTTCTCGTCAAGGCAACTGACATCTATGATGCACAGTCTCTTTACTCGTGTCATGTATGTGTTATGTATTGACGTGTATGTTAAAGGGGCACTGATCTAACGCAATTCCCCGGACTGATTGTTGCCTTTGTTATTGTTTTCCCCCCCCCTGTGAGTACCCGCATGATACGCAACGCAACTGAGCGTGACCAGAGACTGGGCTACCGTCTATAAGGACAGCTAAATAAACTTGGAGGCTGGAGGCAATATTTGTTTTACGCATTTTTGCATAAACACTGATTGGTTAACTGTGATCTATAAAGATTTCGACAAAGGGCGCATGTTAATTAATTTCTTCAGCCTAAACCAAAAGACAAAAAGAACTGCGGAGCTCATCAGATGTCGTCATTTGGAAATACCCCAGATGGTTATAGTTTAATATTAAAAAAAGTATCCATGCAGTGAAAGGATTTTCGGATTTCGGCTTGCGTCGATAATACGATTACTACTCCCTGGTTGTCATCCACGTTTTCTTGTATAACCTACACGTGTGTATTTGTCGTCATTCACTTGATGCTCAGTTAATGAATTTATTACAGGTACAATTAGTGGTAGCACCACTTAGATTACCTGACAAAGGTTCCCATTTGGCATTTATAGTGTCTGGGGGTAATTATTCAATCTAACTCCAGGTTTGAAGAAAGGTGAAATGTGTGTTATGTAATATGCACGTGGCAGCCCAGCAAGAGGTGAATGATCAGTTGATTTACTTTGTTTTGTAAATCAACGGATCATTCCTAGAAATCAAAGGATAAACAGAAAATACGTTGACTGATTAATCACTGTTATCTTGCACAGTGGATATGTCAAGAGTGAGTGTTTACATGCCTAGGTTTACTAAAACAAAGGGAATACACTCATATCATGACGTGAAGTGCCGATGTAAAAACAACATACTTTGTACAAAGGGTTAACTGATAATACGTTGATTGATTGATCATTGTTATCTATCACTCAATGGATTTTTTAGGAACCATGGACGTTATGAAAATTGTTGTCACGTGGGCTTTCTAAGCCGACCATTGAGACTTGACACCTATGTAAAACACCTGAAACAATCCAAGTGATCTGTTGAGAAACGAACAAGGGTTATAATATCCCGAAACGATATCTATCTTTTAAAATATTTGATTGTTACGGAGACACGTGACATCGAATAAGTTTCTTTGTACAGCTGCAGACGAGTGGGATATTGTTCCTTAGTGTGGATATTCACGGATACTTTCTTTAAACAAGGAAGCTGCCTAAAAGTTATACACATACATTTGGTAGGTTGTAATTATGATATTTGCATTTTGTTTTCCTTCATTTGAACCGATTCGTTCTTGTTTCTCTACGTCTTGGTTGGGAAATTCGTCACTTTGTAAAATAACTGAATATTTAGACGTTTAATAAATTTGTTACACATTTCACAGTAAAAAAATGTACACACTATAAAAAAAGCAATGCTCAGGTGAAATATTTACTTTGTTTTGCAAGTCAAAATAGTGTAAACGAAAATCGCAAAATTACCAAGCAAGTGACTTATCAAAACTTCGTCACCATTACCGATGCTACCCACAAAGATACCTACATTTCCTTATTATCTCGAAAATTGTATTTCATTTTGTTGATCAATGTGACCATACGCCCTTATTGCTACCCATTAAAGTGACTAATGCGCTTACGAATGGCGCAGCCGAGGTCGCGAACTAGTCTCGATTTCTGCTATACATCCGGGTACTCACTGGGAAAAAACAATAACAAAGGCAACAACCAGTCCCGGGGAATTGCGTTAGATCAGTGCCCCTTTAATGGTATGTTATGTTACTCGTATAATGTGTTCATATATATGATGGACGGTAACTTTTGAGACTTCAAAATATTCAAAAGATCATTGATGTCAATCAGTGGATTCTCTGGTCCAGACTCGCGTATTTACAGACAGCCACCATAGGGCTAGAATATTGCCGACTGCAGAGTTTAACAACAAAGAACACAATAACCTATTTTATGGCTAACTCAAGTAGAATAGGTCTTCAGCAACCCATGCTTGTCGTAAAAGGCGACTATGCTGGTCGTAAGAGGCGACTAACGGGATCGGGTCGTCAGGCTCGCTGACTTGGTTGATGCATGTCATCGATCCCAATTGCGTGGATCGATGCTCATGATATTAATCACTGGATTGTCTGGTCCAGACTCGATTATTACAGACAGCCGCCATATACATGGAATAATGCTGAGTGCGGCGTTAAACAACAAACAAACAAAACAACCGTCAGTCGGACACTCATCATGAAAAAAATATCAGTGTTATACTGACGCAAGGGAAGACCCTGACGGTTAAGGGTAACTCATGATCAATGCGAAAAAATATATAACAAAAATGGTTATTTTTACAGCAGCATGTATTGACTGGTTACATGTTGGCACGTCGTTTCCGTCACTGGATCGCGCAGGTCTCAAATTTCCAGCGCCTGTCTCTGCAACAGGATATATGAATCTGAAAATGTATGCATATTATCCCTAACAATAGCTCAAACGTTTAGTCAAACTATTTTACAGTCAAACAAAGCCGTTGTTTCCACTCATTCTAACAGGGTCATACAAAATGTTATAAACATTGTCATGAAACAAAGACTTTCATTGACTTGTCAAGATATCTTAACATAGGAACGAATTAATTCGTTATCTATTAGGCGTCGCACTTTAAAGTGTTCTCTCGTGTAGAGTCTTCATTTCTTAAAGAAAACTGGAAATATACAAATTGAAACATTGCTTTCTAAATTTGATAAATGAAAAACCGACAGAAGACAACCAAGTGATTGACGTCATGAGCATCGATCTACGCAATTGGTGATGTGAAATGAGGTTTAACGTCGCGTCCAAGACTATTGCGGTTACTGGGCGACTTGCCTACACCTGTGTGTGTGTGTGTGTGTGTGTGTGTGTGTGTGTGTGTGTGTGTGTGTGTGTGTGTGTGTGTGCTTGTACTAGTCCGGACAAATGCCGATTTTATGGTGCCAGCCCACTGAGATACCATGCCGCGCAGTTTAACATCAATACCCCACTCAGACACAGTATGCTGACTCCGAGCCGACCTGTCCTTGTTTTACCCCTTAATGCCCAGTGCCGGGCAGGGTAACAACAAGTACCATCTCTTTTTGTTTTATGCGGACCTTCCGCGGACGCGCTACCACTAGACCACGGAGTCTCTATGCCATTAGGATACGTTTGCTTGTTTGTTTGTTGTTTAACGCCGCACTCAGCAATATTCCAGCTATATGACGTCGGTCTGTAAATAATCGAGTGATTGACGTGATAAGCATCGATGCACGCAATTGGGATACGATGACATGCATCAACAAAGTCAGCGAGTCTGACCACCCGATCCCGTTAGTCGCCACTTACGGCAAGCATAGTTGCCATTTACGGCAAGCATGTGTTACTGCATTGTTGTTTGATAAGGGACCAAAGGTTTGAAATCATAATTATTAATTGTTGGCAAGTGAGCATCAGTGTACAAAAGACCTGGTTCCAGCAACTTTTTTTTCACAATTGGTGGTCGCCAACCAATGCTGATGGTCGCTTGAGCGGTTGTTAATCCCGTGTCAACGTCGCTCATAATATCAATCAATGGTTTGTCTAACTCGAGTACTTACACCATATTGCCTGTGAAGATCCGTGATAGAATAGGTCTTCAGCAACCTATGCTTACCGTAAAAGGCGACTAACAGGATCGGCTGGTCAGACTCGCTGACTGGGTTTGATACATGTCATCGATCCTAATTGCATGGACCGATACTCATGTTGTCAATCACTGGATTGTCTGGTCTAAACTTGATTATTTACAGACAGCCGTCATATAGCTGGAATATTGCTGAGTGGGGCGTTAAACAAACAAATAAAACAAAGTTAGAATTGTTTAGCACCTAAATATGTGAGACAGCATCATGCAGAGCAATGCACTTACTCATAACGGTTGTTGTGAATGCTGGAGACTCCCTTGAGGAAGTGTCCCTCAGGCATCCTGAAGTTGAGGTCCTTATTCCAATTGTTGACAAAGCCGGTCCAGCCACAACGCACCAAACGTTTACCTGAAAGAGATATGTCACAACAATGTTATGTAAACAATAAGTTGACAACTAGATCTGGTATTTAAATCCCAAATGAACATTTTTGTTGTCGCCATTCCAATTACCAGAAGCGATTATTAATAACAGGCTTATTTTCACGGCCATAAGGTGTTTTGAAACGCAACAATTACGGAATCATAACGAATAATAAACTGTGTTAATGAACATATTTTACAGAAACATGAAATTGACCAGTTACATGTAAGTGAGACTTTTTTAAAGATATGTGCTGACGTACGGTACAGGGAGCAACAGTTGAAACTAAATCGTCGGTCTTCGTAGTAGCTATTGTGATAGCTGCCGACGCCGGTAATGACGCCATTGTAGCATCGGAAAGATATCGGCTGATCAAATCTGTTCACATAGTCTGAAAGAGTGATTGGATGATTTGTGGGTTAATGCCGCTAGTAGGATAGACAATGACAGTTATGGTTCACTTCCACTGGAGCCAGATTTATATACCTATACTCCTACCACAGAGAGAATTTTTAATGTGAAAATGATGATGCGATTCAACAATCGTCATGAGTCTAAACAAAATTGTAATGAAAATATTCACCCTGTGGTAATTCTCGGCATTTGATTTGCTTGTAGTTCTCCATTATCATAGGCTTATGTAAGCATTCGTTTAAATGTGATCCAACGATAGGAAACAATCCATTTTTAATCTCCAACCGGTTCTTTGGTTTGGGCATGGAATAATTGACGCGCTTGTTGCCTCCCATGATCTATGAATTTTTTTTCTCGTCTTCGCTAATACCACTGGTCTTATGAGAATTGGATCGAGTCTCCTGCTTCATTGTATTGTATTTGGTTAGTTCTGACAACACTAAACGAAACTCCTCCTCGGATGTCTCACAATCAGCCAGTGCTGTTGAAATATGATCCTCAATGCTGTTTAACTTTGCTTCGGCGAGTATCCGAATAGTATCGTGTTTTAGTGCTTTCTTTTGCAACTTATGAGAAATAGATTTTATTGCTATTCCTGCCAGTCCTGAGACTCAGGCCGCTACTTTCATACCAAATACGATAGGTGCGGCGATTATAGTTGATAATAAACTCACGCCGGGTACACCAAATCCCATGCCAGCTGTTACAAGCACGGTGTTAGCTCCGTCGAGAGCATTCACAGCTCTGTGATACTTTTTATACAATCCAAGTGCCTCTCCTTCTCTATTCGATGTTTTATGTCACTTATTTCATGTATCGAAATCCATCTACAGTATCAATCTTTTCAGATGCTTTATCGAGCACCGAATATAAACCCATAATGTATATTATTATATCATATAATAGTCTTTAATTGATCTTGCTTAAATGTTTTGAGTGTATACATCAACCTTATTAAATGTATATTATGCGGCATAAATATCTTAGTAAGAGAAATGCTTTCACTTTTATTAACTTGGACCCCCTCAAGGGTTGCAACAGGTGATACTCCCATATAGATAATACTGCAACGTCGACCCTCGTGTTTCTCGAGCCATTTAATTGATAGACCTGGTAATAGTATGAGTATGAGTATGATCCCACTATTCATTATCTTAGTTAAATTATGTCCCTTCCCCGTCATCACATATGGTTGGGTAATGACGATATTCAGTAGCCACTCGATTTTTTCTTCGACCATAGTCCATTTATTATCATCGTTGCGAGTAAGATTGTATGAAGTGTTTTTATTGAGTCTACTATTGTCGACATCACTTAAATCTCCTAGATTAGCTGTGACTACAACTTCTTTCCGCTTGTATACATTATCTTTTAAGCGTAAAGCGTATAACTTGCCATTGGTACAGGGTTTACCAAATCTTTCTGTGTCCCCAAGATCGGAAAGCACAATTGTATTACATTGTCTAAGGTTATGCGTTCCAGGGCCTGATGATTGAACCATTATTTATAATATGGAGCGTTACACTCAAGTATCCTACATGTACAGTTTGATGTTTCAAATCTAATACAGAAATTTTGAGATCTGAAATAATACCCAACTTTTACTTTTTTATTGTAATGATTAGAAAGATTCCGTTCTACCACTATTGTATTTTTCATCTTTGACTGGAATAGCTCTTAGCAGAGTTGAAGGACTTTCGAGTTGAATATTATTCGTTGTACTGATCTGATCAAAATGGATGCACAACTCTCTATAGGGAACTAAATCTGGTAATTCAAATCCATGCAATGTTCGTAAGGTAATACTTTTCCTCCTATAAATCCAAGTGTAGCTGCTGTTTTTGGGATAATTATTTCATCCTGTTCTCCAGGGTTTAAAATCATCATCCGATTCGCCTCATTTTGTGTGAAACTAGCTCCCAAAGGCTTAAAAATGAACAAATGAAATGCTTAAAATCACTGAGTGAGCATACGATGAAATACCCATCAGGTATAATGATGGGTTTGATTCTAACATTGTCTTCAATTATTAATACCCCATATTTTTCGTCTCACAAAACTTATATTGGTCCGCCTTGGGTAATACGTTACATCGCAGAGAGCGACTTCAAATTGCCCAGTTGAGTTATCGATAGTATGAAGCAGTTGAATAGACTGGCCAATTGTTATTCCTGTGAGTGTAACATACATATTAAATATACAAAGATTCTATTTCATAACTTAAACATGAAATCAACTTACATTACGAATCAGTCGATTTTAGTAAGTGCCTCTGGTGCTAAGTTTCTTGTTCATTTCCTTGATATCTTTGAAAAATACTGGGTCATGGCAACTAGTGATAAAATGGTGCATGATTGGTTCCACAACCCAATGCAATTTTGGCAGAACCAGTTAAACTTTGCCATATGGTGTTCCACAACAGGATGTGGTGTTTCTCGTTATGCCCACGGATTTGAACTAAATAAGTCTGTTTTATCATTTCACATGTACTATCAGATTAGACGCATACTTAAAGAAATTAATGCCTCATTCCCGCAGGATCGAGCATGGAATGCTTCAAATAATCCGCACAATAGGTTCGCGTATGAACGTATTTGTCAGGAATTTCATATTTCTGCCAGTAAAGATTGGCGTCTGCGTGGAGTTAACCATGGTCTAGGTATTCCGTATGCTGGTGCACACCCTGTTAAAGAAGTCAGCGATGATTTACTGAAAAGAGGTTGGCTTCTTCTGAGCTTTGCTCTCTCGAGTAACGAGTGGAGAGACGATCGTATGAACTTTAAGGGTGGTGTTGCTTTCACCGTCCAAAAGGTTGAGCAACCACCTGGAAATGCTGGGAATCAATTTCTTTATGATAAAACAGAAAATAATTTTACTAACCCAGGAGTTGTAAGAGTTAATGGATCAATAAGAACTTATGTATGGGCAATTCTTGGTGCACAATCGCAAACACGAACGGGAATAAGGGTTCTGGGACGGCGCTCTATGCACAAAAACAGCTTGTCGCAAACGCGTACGTAGAGGATGCGATTAATTCACCAGTTGACATACCATCTTCTATGAAACGTTATTAAGATGTTTTACAGTACGCTCAATCCAAAGTAGACTACGTTTTTGAGGCAGGACTATACATTTCTCCGAGTAATATGGAACTTAAGATCGGTCAAGTGATTGGCTATAATAATAAAATTGTTATTGCTTCCAATCAACAAAAACCAGGTCTAAATTCTGATATTAACACCGAATTAATAATGCATACAAACACAGGTGCAACGGGAATAGTAAAACCACAGATATCTACTGACGCATCGAAACAAGTGCAACAGCCACAAGTGTCACCACATATTGACGCTACAAATCGACACTATATCGATGAAAAAACAGCGCTTTTAGTAGGTGGAGTCGCGGCTGGTTTACTCATGATTTGAATAAATAGTCTTTAACGGATAAGTACAACAGCCCGGCAATTGCTACGATCAGTGCCCACCAGTTTTGACTAAGCCAAGTGGTGGTCTTTGCTAATAGATTCAAGAGCCAGGAAACAATACTCCCTATTATACCGGGAAGTGCAGACGCGGCTTTCCAAGCGAGCTTTCCCAGTGCTTCTCCTAATGCCTTTAAATGTTTTTTTTGCCTTTGTCTTTGATGCCACTTTTATCACTAGGTGGTGTGGGTGGTCCACCTCCACCGTTTAAGGCGAGAGTTAAAGTAGGTATGATAAATCCCATTGCGGTTAAAATACTGGCAATGGTTATCCCCTGTGTTCCAAACAATGTTTTAATTTTATCGGCCAGTGTAGTATCATTGTTGAGGACTTGATCAATAGTTTCTCGAATTTGACTGATTTGTGAACCAAGTGCCTTTCTATTACTCGAAGCCGCTTTAAGGCGGGCCGATCTTTCATCTTCTAAGTTACGCAATCTTTCCGCAACGCGTCATCTACTGAATTCATCGCCCGCCTGTTCAATTTTTGTTTTCTCATAAGCTATAAGCTTGTCGAGGTCAGATAGCTTGGCCATATTATTGATGAGTTCTCCCCGCATTGTTTCCACTGACTTGTCAAGGCCTCGTAATTCCCTAATATTGTATTTAAAGAATGGTACCTTTAATGTGAAATTATCGTAGTAGGTATCCAAGATTTCTGCGAGTCCGTCTGGGGCCCGCTTCGCGCGTTCTTCCAAATTATCTTTATCTATGGCACCGAGTTCATTTCGAAAAGTCTGAAGAACCTTAGTAGTCTTCGAGTACGAGAATGCATAAGATCAATATCCGCAGAGTCACGCAGTCACAGTATTCCTTTGCGATCTATCTTAAACTTTGAATAGTCACGTCCAATTGGGGTAACATATTTTTTGTCTTCTTTTAAGTCATCGTAATAATCATTAACGGATGATTTCAAAAGTTCATCATTAAGATTCATGCCACCAAAACTGGTTTCATCAGTTCCCTCTTCGATTGTACTAGTATCAGTTAGGTTATCTAGATTAATATCATCCATTTTTATATTAAACATAAGGTTACATAATTTCAATATAAACAATGTCTTCGAGATACGGATGCCAGTCTGTAACTATAAATAATAACCCGAGTACCATTTATCAGAATCAAACATTTCTTGTTCGCTTTCCTAATCTAGGCGCTCACGATGGGTTAGTTCCAGGAACTGTACGACTATCATTTACAATTTATTTGATTTCAACCGATGCTAACAGAGAGCTCATTCAGAACATAGGTCGTGCGATTGTTAAGAAAATCGCGATTAAAATTAGCGGTAATGAAGTTTTGAGTATTGACGACAGCGATTGTATACTTCTGTTACATGGATCTCTGGAGAACGGCTAAAGAATGAGAAAACTTACAGTACCAAGGTATTTGTAATCAGAACACATTGAGACTGCGTGTGGGTGCTTGTACTGGTGATAGTACCATCGTTGAAGATAAGGCTGTTGCTGATGCATTAGGTAACCGATTCTATATTCCGCTCGACTTTGAATTACTAGATAGTCACAAGCCCTTCTATCAAGCATCCTTAGGCGATAGGTTAGAATACGAACTCACTTTTAATGACAACAGCAGAGTAATCAAACTTGCTGATGGTGAAATGGGTAGCTATTCTATTGACAATATCTCACTGCAGTATGATATGATAACAGATCCTGAATTAGCCAGAAAAATTCGTAACCAGTATACTAGAAGTTTAGCCATTTTGTACGATCACATGCTTCGACACCAAAAGATTGCCAGGAACAAAATGGAATATCAATCGTTGAAGGGTAATTAATGTTTTTCGAGGACCCTTCTAAAGCATTTGGAAGAGATACCGAGAAGTTCAACAACCCCAAGATTACAAAAGTAGAATTGACTATGGAGGGTGTACCTAATCAACTATATAGTCAAGGCATGCGAGTATATTGACAGTGGGTTGAGGTTTAGAAACTCCCTTCTATAAAACGACCAACCCCCCAAAAGATAATGGTCATCATAATTCAAGCGAGTCCTACTTTGCAGTGATTTATCACGCTTTTCATGCAACATGCATCTGGCGTTCGAGTATTTCCGTCTAATCAGCAATATTCCAGCTATATGAAGGCGGTCTGTAAATAATCGAGTCTGGACCAGACAATCCAGTGACTAACATCATGGGCATCGATCCACACAAATGGGATCGATGACATGAATCAATCAAGTCAGCGAGCCTGACCCCCGAGAGCAGAAGGTTGGTGGTTCGATTTAGACCATCACGGCCATGTTTAAAAAATCAGAATTCTGTCAGCAGCTTTAAAATACCATTGCTCTAAAAACAGTTCACCTTTAATTACGCAGAAGTTTCCACAAACAAAAAAGTCCACCGACAATAGAAAAACGGCAATATATGACAGTCAAAGATTAAATGTCGTATGTGAAGGTCAAAGTGTCGAAAATAAAAAAAATTGTCCTTTCAAACCCTTACCACATAGTGCTATTCAAATGTGAGGATTTCACACTGGCTTCTGTTTCAAGATGATTTGCGCACACAGTAAGTAAACTACGGTTATAACGAACTCAAAGGGGGGCACTATTTTTAGTTCGTTATGACCGTAGTTCGTTATAAGCATAAGTATAGCATATATACAGCAGTGGTCGGGACAAAAAAATAAGTTCGTTATGAGCGTGTTCGTTATAAACGTAGGTTTTGTATTTCACTTACTATGCCATTGACAGTATCCTAGTCCTGGTGTATTCTGACAGGTGAACTTGTAGCGTCTGTCTCCATGGTAGACACTATTATAGCTTTTCCAGGAAGCAATGGACTTCCCCGAAGGACATTCGTAATTGAAACGCTTGTCAAAGTCGTTGACATATTTTGACGTCACGACAGAGACAAGAGATAGCAGCAGAAACGCAGTCTGGAAGCAGTGGAGGCACACGTATGATGGCAGCCATGAAACATAATACAGAATCGAAACAACGACAAAATCAAGTTTCAATAACTACTAATTCCATTTACCTTTCTGCCACCTTGTGCTGATTCTTTTAGCACACTTCACAAGAATTATGTTATACTTACCTGGGTTGTCAGTCCAGAGAGAGGTCGTATTAAGATGATGTCGTATTGGCCATTCTCGATACACTCATGAATATTTGTTAAAATGTGAGGATCCTCCATTCTGCATCCCTTGTGATAAAAGAATCACGGTCAAGCATGTCCTGCTCGACTGTATTGATTTTTCCATCTCAAGGGATAACTATTTCAAAGTTTCATCGCACAAGGATCTTTTTTATCAGGTAAGTTCTCATTTAATTCTTCTTCTTTTTTTAAAGAAATATAATTATTAAATAAATTTGAAATAAATGTTTTGTAGTTAGAATTGGTAGAGAGAAACTTGTTAACTGATATTGTTAGTGTCTTTATCCTTGATGGGGGTTGAAGTAGTGAAAAATGATTGTCCCCCAGAGAGGGTATGTGAGACCACGTCATTTAAAGTAATTTTTTTCGACCACAATTTTTATCGTGGTATATATGTTCATTTAACTTTCGCTAAATGTGTCATTAATCGCCAACAGCGGAAGGGATGATGTAAATCCGGCCGGGGTCCATGCAGGTAGCATAAGTACTGTAAGTCCCCATGGACCCTGACATGGTGATCTACCTTCAGCTGCTGGCCATCTGAAGCCCTTTTTTATATTGTACCGTTACTTATACTGATATCTTTTTATATTTGTATGCAAGTTTTAAATATAAATCTGTGATATTCTAGTCATTTTACTGTCCATCGATGACAGGTTTTTATTAAATTTAAATATATGCATTAAAAATGTATAAATTTCTCGTCACGATATGGCTGAAATATTTCCCCTGTGACGTAAAGCATTAACTTACTCACTCACAAGAATTAAAGTTTCCTTTGACAAGAAATATTTTACAGAACATTTCACACTGCCCATTTTTTACATCTTACACCCGTGAAGATCCGGGATAGAATTTGTCTTCAGCAACCCATGCCTGTCGTAAAAGGCGACTAACGGGATCGGGTGGTCAGGCTCGCTGACTTGTTTGATACATGTCATCGTATCCAAATTGCGTCGACCGATGCTCATGATGTCAATCACTGGATTGTCTGCTCCAGACTCGATATTACAGACCGCCGTCACATAGCTGGAATATTGCTGAGTAAGGCGTTAAACAACAAACAGACAAAACTTACATCCACCATTTGCAGCTGACAATGTCTGTATGGAACATAATAACATGATCTCTATCGGCAAGCTTTTCCAATCAATAATTGCCGAAAAGGCAATGTTTAAAAATCTAACCTTGGTGATAAATGATACAATACATTTTTAAACAACGGAAATAAACTAATTGCTGCTTAGTATTTCATTACTGAAATGATCTTGTTATAAACATTCTTTTCAATGAATATATAAATGGAATATCAAACTCGTTAAGGAAAAAAACACAACTTTGATGTAGACTCGTAACTTTATAATACAAGGTTCCACTGCAATTATTCCCTCAAAGAAAGAATTGGGCCTTATCATACTTACAGGGAACATCATAGTGTGAACACACAGCGCCTTGGACTACATGCACTGTGCGCCAGTATATATACACGTGTATACCATCTGTAACTCCCGCACCGTGTACGTTGTGATTGGTGGTCAGATGATTCTACGGTGATTGGAGGGAGTCATATCTTACGTTTAAACTACATCCTGTGCTCAGTAAATTATCTTGACAATATGTGACTATGAAAGTATTAGTTTACTGAATATTTAACCTTCAATTCTAACATTCATTTATAAGTCAATACCTATTAGGTTCTAACATGCCTGTGAGTGTGTGGCTTAACGATCAGCGTAAAGAATGTGTATGAAAAAGTTAAAATTTAAAAAAATGTTACACAGTGGACAAAATCTATATCAACACTCTACATCTTCGAACTCCTTTAACTCGCTATATCATTGAAGATAATGAAACATCATTAACCATAATCTGTAGCAACAGTCCAATGTTTCGTACAACTTTAACTCGCTATATCATTGAAAATAATGTAACATCGTCAACAATAATCTGTATCAACACTCCACTTCTTCGAACTCCTTTATCTTGTTATATCATTGAAGATAATGTAACATCGTCAACCATAATCTGTATCAACACTCCACTTGTTCGAACTCCTTTAACTCGATACATCATTGAAGATAATGTAACATCGTCAACCATAATCTGTATCAACACTCCCTCTTGTTCGAACTCCTTTAACAAACACTCCACTTGGTCGAACTCCTTTAACTCGCTATTTCATTGAAGATAATGTAACTTCGTGAACCATAATCTGTCTGAACACTCCACTTCTTAGAACTCCTTTAACTCACTATATTACTGAAGATAATGTAACATCGTCAGCCATTATCTGTATAAAAACTCCACCTGTTCGAACTCCTTTAACTCAATATATCATTAAAGAACATGTAACACAGTGGACATAATCTGTATCAACGCTCCACTGCTACGAACTCCTTTAACTCACTATATCATTGAAGATAATGTAACATCGTCAACTATAATCTGTATCAACACTCCACTTGTTCGAACTCCTTTAACTTACAGTATCATTGAAGAAAATATAACTTCGTCAAACATAATCTGTATCAACACTCCACTTCTTCGAACTCCTTTAACAAACACTCCACTTCTTCGAGCTCATTTAACTTACAGTATCATTGAAGATAATTTAACATCGTCAACCAAAATCTGTATCAACACTCCACTTGTTCGAACTTCTTTAACTCGATATATCATTGAAGATAATGTAACACAGTGGACATTATCTGTATCAACACTCCACTTGTTCGAACTCCTTTAACCCGCTACACCATTGAAGATAATGTAACATCATGAACCATAATCTGCGTGAACACTCCACTTCTTTGAACTCCTGTAACTCACTATATCATTGTAAATAATGTAACATCGTCAACCATAATCTGTATCAACACTCTACTTCTTTGAACTCCTTAAACTCGATATATTGTTGAAGATAATGTAACACAGTGGACATAATCTGTATCAACACTCCACTTGTTCGAACTCCTTTAACACGCTTTATCGTTGAGGATAGTGTAACACAGTGGACATAATCTGTATCAACACTCCACTTGTTCGAACTTCTTTAACTCGATATATCATTAAAGATAATGTAACATCGTGAACAAAAATCTGTATCAACACCCCTCTTGTTCGAACTCCTTTTACTTGCCACAAATATATGAAGATAATGTAACACAGTGGACATCATCTGTATCAACACTCCACTTGTTCGAACTCCTTTAACCCACTACACCATTGAAGATAATGTAACATCATGAACCATAATCTGTATCAACACTCTACTTCTTTGAACTCCTTTAACTCGATATATCGTTGAAGATAATGTAACACAGTGGACATCATCTGTATCAACACTCCACTTCTTTGAACTCCTTGAACTCGCTTTATCATTGTAAATAATGTAACATCGTCAACCCTAATATGTATCAACACTCTACTTCTTTGAACTCCTTTAACTTGCTATATCATTGAAAATAATGTAACATCGTCAACCATAATCTGTATCAACACTCAACTTGTTTCGAACTCCATTAACTCGATATATCATTGAAGATAATGTAACATCGTCAACCATAATCTGAATCAGCACTCCACTTGGTCGAACTCCTTTAACTCGTATATCATTGAAGATAATGTAACATTGACAACAATAATCTGTATCAACACTCCACTTGTTCGAACTCCTTTAACTCGCTATATCACTGACAATAATGTAACATTGTGAACCATAATCTGTCTGAAAACGCAACTTCTTCGAACTCATTTAACTCGCTATATCATTAAAGAAAATGTAACTTTGTAGGAATTTTTTTTTTTATAAAAACTCCACTTGTTCAAACTCCTTTAACTCGCTATATATTTATAGAAAATGTAACACAGTGGACATAATCTGTATCAACACTCCACTTCAACGAACTCTTTTAACTCACTATATAATTGAAGATAATGTAAAATCGTCAACCATAACCGGTATCAACACTCCACTTGTTCGAACTCCTTTAACTCGCTATATAATTGAAAACAAAGTAAGATCGTCAACCATAATCTGTATCAACACTCCACTTGTTAAAACTCCTTTAACTTACTTAATCATTGAAGATAATGTAACATCGTGAAACATAATCTGTATCAACACTCCACATGTTCGAACTCCTTTAACTCGCTACATCATTGAAGATAATGTAACATCGTGGACATAATCTGTATCAACACTCCATATGTTCGAACTCCTTTAACTCGCTATGTAATTGAACACAAAGTAAGATCGTCAACCATAATCTGCATCAACACTACACTTGTTAAAACTCCTTTAACTCACTATATCATTGAAGATAATGTAACATCGTGAACCATAATCTGTATCAACACTCCACTTGATCGAACTCTTTTAACTCGCTTTATAATTTAAAACAATTTATGATGGAGCAACATAAGAACGGTGGGCAAAGAGTAGTTGCTAGACGCAATTGTTTAAACATTATTCTGCATTGGTTTGTATCCAAGATTCGCCCAAATTATTATGCTTGGTCTGTGAGCACCATTCATGTGCTAGTTTGATTTTCCAAGAAGAGAAATAACAACAACTTGAATATTTCGCTTTCCTTTCCCCTGAAATCGACGCGGCGTGATATAACTAAAACACTGGTCTACACGGTGTTACTCACTGGCTCACACACTCACACACTGGCTCACTCACTTTATGAGCATTGCATCTGTGAACTTATAGATATACAGCAAGTTGTATTTGATTACGGTAATGTTTGTGAACCACTGCAGGTGTGACGCCTGCATGAAATACATACAACAGATGCGCGTGTCTGTCACTGAAACATTACCGGATTTGACACGTCAGAATGACATTCATTGTTACAAAATTAAACTATGCCTTCTAAAATTACATTGTAACAATTTCTTGGGAAGTGGTTTGGTGAACTCGACTTGTGACATCCGGGGATGTTTCCTTTATGAACACCAAGGTTTGGGGAGTTGTGTTCGTGGTAATTAATTTTGTATGTTTGTTGTTTAACGCCGCAATATTACAGCTATATAAGGGCAGGCTGTAAATAATCAAGTCTGCAACAGACAATCCAGTGATTGATATAATGAGCATCGATCTACGCAGTTGGATACGATGACATGCGTCAACCAAGTCAGCGAGCCTGACCATCCGATCCCGTTAGTCGCCTCTTACGACAAGCATAGTCGCCAGTTACGGCAAGCATGGGTTGCTGACGACCTATTCTACCCCGGATTGCGGCGTTTAACAACAAACAAACAAAACATCATTGCTGTTAATCAAGATGGTCATAGGCGGAACCAGAGGATGGGTCCAGGGGGTTCAGACATCGGTGAGATAATTATATGCCAAATTCCAGTTAACATGCTTGGTGTTCTTGAGACACTCTGTATCAAAATCAACTTGAAAAAAATGGGGCACAAGGTAACACTATTAAGACACATCACTGAAACATTACTGAAAACAAGTAAGCGTTTTCTTTAGAGCAACTAAAAATCTTTGTCACGCGGTTAATTTGTTTGTTTGTTGCTTAAGCACTCAGCAATATTCCAGCTGTATGACGGCGGTCTGTAAATCCAGAGAATCCAGTGATTGGCCTCATGAACATCGATCCACACAATTGGGATACGATGACATGCATCAACCAAGTCAGCGAGCCTGACCACCCGGTTCTGTTAGTTGCCTCTTACGACCATCTTCCCGAGGCAAGGGAGTTAACTGACTTTTAAAGTCCAGTTTCCACCCTTGCCGAACCACGCAGGAATTCCTGGGCTCGATCGTAGCGCCACTAGTGGTTATTACGAGTCATGAACCGTCTAAGCCTCTCCTATGGACCAATCAGATTTCACCTCTCGTATCACTTGCACTTGTATCAAATTGACAGTCACGTTCTTACATCGCGAAGTGCATCAAATTGCGTGAGCACATTGATTGAAAACATGAAAAGATTTGGAAAATACTTGTTGTCAACGAGTTGGCGGTGTACATGCATTGCAAATCCTGCATTCGACCGAAATCTACACGACAGTTTACGAACCTGATTTCGATTTCGTTGCGCGGTTTGGATTGGACTATGCATAGACTCGTTAGTCCAGCCAAAATGTAACTCCATAATACCAGCCTAGTTCGGCAAGGGTGGAAACTGGATTTTTATAGTCAGTTAACTCTCTTGCCTCGGGAAGATGCTTACGACAAGCGTGGTCGCTTTTAGTCCGTCATGCAGACCCTGAAACAAATATATCCAATACATCTCACGCAAGTCTGTAATGTTTGGCAAGTCTTGATTACTGCAGTAAAGAAAGTCTCTGGGTTCCTTTTTATTATATTTTATAACTCTAATTTAACAACTGTTTTATTCTGTAAAAAATATACTGCACAACAAATGTTCCTGTGAGTTTGAATAAGATTTAATGCAAAGTTATGTTTTTTTACAAAATCTGAAACAATTTCGGTTTGCAACAGATAAAAAAACCTCCTATAAGTGCTCTAATGGTTTAATTTGTCATACTGACTTTAGAAAATGCG